CCCTGCACACACCACTCTCTCAGGGCAGCTTCCCCATCGATCTTGGGCCGGGGCAGTCAAACTTCTCAGCACTTCCACAACGACTCATCACAAAAGGCGTGGTACAAGTGTTGGAGGTTTTGTATGTCTTTGCTGCTATAATATAACTTCAAAGAGAGAAGGAATTAAGTCTTTCTATTGTGTCCCCAAAGCCTAGCAGTTTGTCCTGCACATAATAAAAGGTCAGTAAATCTTTATTAAACTATAAATGACTGGACAGATGAATGAATACATAAATGAACTTAAATATAATACTAGTCAAACAATGAAAGAGAATCATCTTCACCATAATTACACTATTGCAGAAACCTTAATGGTATTAGTCATACTCTCAAATAAAACATTTGCAAAGCTTCAGTGTGTATGTACATAGGCCAACAAAAAGAGGACACAGCGAGAATAACTTCACTGCAAACCCAGGTCACAGTCCCTCACTCATGCTCCAAAAGAACATAACAGCAAAGGAGCAGGGGTGTATCTTGATACACCATCCACTTACCAAAGAAGGCGCACACGCATTCAGATAAAGCGGCTCTGATACAAGCTCCAACTGTGCTGCTATTTAAATAGAAAACTCAGATTCTCTGAAAAAGCAGTCAAGATCACATATACTAAAATTTTACACTTCTATGCAATTATTTAAAATCAGCTACACGTATAGATTGCAGTCTCTTAAGTCTTATAAAATAAATGAATTTAACTAATCTATTCAAGTAAAATCAAAGCTTAAACACTGTAAAGATTAGATGTTCATAACTTTTAAAATTAACAAGAAAAACTACAAATTCCTGAACAAAAATTTTATTTTTAACTGTTAGGTTTTTCGTGCATATGAAAAATTTTTGTTAACACGTGACATGAAGAGATGTTAGCACACTGAACTACAACAGAAAAATTTTATACAACTTTTGAATCACTAATGTGCTTATTTCTTCTGTGAATGAACGCAGTCAGCCTAAGTCAGCTTTGTCGTGGGTATTAAGTAGGTTTAACATTTTTAAGTTATTGTTTAATAACTTCCTAATAAGGTTTTCCGTTTCCCCTAGACTTACACAAAGTATTTTCTTCAATGTGTTGGATACTATAGTAGCTTTTGCTCTCATCCCTGGAGGAACATACCTAATATTTAAATATTCAGGTAGTCTAGATCTAGAATTATACAGCACGTTAATAACAGTTTCAGCGTCGTCAGCCCCACTGCTGCTCCGCCCTAGCGGTAACATCTGAGATTTGTACATCTTCTCCACTTTGTGCTCTGCTGCTGCTGCCAGAGCAAGGCTCCGTTTGAGGTGCTCTTCGGCGGCTTTGATGTCCGCTCTGTATTCTGGCTTGAGGCTCTCAGGAAGAGGCACCTGCTGCACCTGCGCACTGATATCTGAAATCTTTTTCAGGATGCGCTCATTATACAAATTCTGTGGGTGTTCTTCAAACGTCAGTGCTTCAGACTGCTCCGCTTCGTAGTCTCCCGAGAGCTGAGGAACGTCCTCCAGCTCTGTGGCGGTGTCCACGACGGTGTTCTCCCTTGTGGGCAGTTCGGTGGCATTTGGCACTGGCTTCGGTGCCTCAGTCTGTCTTACAGGCAGCTCCGGCTCCGGCTCTGGCTCTTCTTTTTCAATATAAGGTTCTTTCGCATGTAAAACAACAGAAATGTTATTTGGCTTAATTGACCAGAACGCTGTGCTTTTAGTATGCTTTTCCCTCTCTACTTCCAGCGTGAAGCCCCTGGTAGGGAAAGTTGTAGTTTCATCACTGACAGGACTGATCAACACATCGTTCTCAGCTGTGGCTTCATCATGCGACTTCACCTCCTTAAACTTTGACATTCTTGATGCTGCAGAATTAACATTATTTGGAGTCTTTGATTTTCTCTGATGACCTGGTCCCTTGGTGGGAACACTTAGTATTAGGTTCTGTAAAACTTGCACGTAATGATTCAAGTTTTGTTCTTCGTCAGGCATCACAGTTAGTCCTTAAGGAAAAACCAGACAGAAGTGATGTTTATTATCATGCATGACATGCTGACAGAATCTACTGACCTAAATTTACTTCTTACGCTATCACTTAAAAGTTGAGATAAAGAGCCAAGAAATAAAGCACATTTTTTTTTAAATGGAGGCCCTGGGGATTGAACCCAGGACCTCGTGCACGCTAAGCACACACTCTTCCACTAAGCTACACCCTCCCCATCTTTGACAGTCAACTCTCATTTAAATGAACAAAATCTTTTTTTCAAGGTTAGTGCATAAGTTGCATATTAACACAATTCTCTGTATGTCTTTGCTTTTACTCCCCCATATAATTTATGATTTAACAGGAAACTTACTAAGACAGAATTCTGGATTATGCTCTCCGACACAGTGGTGTGCTGTAGTAGGTCCAGTCTAGCTCACCAGAGCCAATTAGTAAATTTTTAGAAATTTTGTGAGTCAGATGGCAAATGGAGACATCATTAAAAATTAAATTATACACATTTACAATTAAATAAAATGTACTCCATACAAAGGGAATAAACATTCGAAACTCATCCCTTTCTTACTATTTTTTCTCATTTTACTATTGTTTATGCTCATGAGAAACGCTGTGCACTGGGGTGCCACTGTTGATCTCTGTCACCTCCCTATTAAGTGATGTCAAGTAGGTAGTGTGACGTTGACCATGGTGAAGAGTATTTGCACCATGTAAATGGGCAAATGCTATAAATTAGGGCTTACCCATCCCCCAGAAAAGCCAGTTGTGAAACATTTACCAGTGTACCACTGCCTTCAACCCAGCAAAGATCTGACTACAGCCTGTGGATCACATCTACCCAAATGTTTTTATACATAAAGGTATTTTGGAACCTGGCCAGTCTTGTCCATTTGTTAATGTATTCTCTATGGCTGCTTTTGGCTGCAGGAGCTGAATAGTTGCAACAGAGACCATGTTGCCAAAAATGCTTACTCTTGGGCCCTTTACAGAAAAGTTTGCTGATTTCTGTTCTAAATCATCAACATTTTACTCTTGGCTCTATTTGTACTGGCATTTTGCAGGATCTGAGTGGTAAAGTCTCTCATTTACAATGCAGAAAACAAAAGATTACTGAATATAATATTACTGAATTGAATATAATTATTGAATATAATATTATTGAAATAATATATTCTAAAATTCTGCTCAACTCCCACAGTCCAGAGTCAGAAGGTTTTAATTTTAGGTGCTAGAATTCTGAACTGACCTCGCCACTGTCACAGACACAAAGTGACTTACTGCCTTGAGCACTGATGAGCACCTCCTGGCCGAACCCTCCCTCTGCAGGCAAAATGCAACAAGCTTTCTGCTATCCTTATCTTTGGCAAGCACAAAATAGTACAGAAATACTTTATCTCCTTTCTCAACTCTTCTGTTACAACTTAGAAAGACCAGATGGAAGTTTAATCAAAATTGAAAGCATATTTCTTTTTTAAAAAAATCTTAATCAGAACACTTTAGTGAGGCAATGTGATAGTGGGAAGATCCCAGACTTGTCTCCTAGAGACGTAGCTTCTAACAGCAGATTCTGCATTTTGTGTCATGCTGAGAAGAGTTTTGCATATTCCAAGACATATTTGATGGTGATGAGTGAAAAAAGACATAAAACATAAGGGAGGTTTTGTATGATCCTTGTAACTTTTTCATGGGTCAGTGACATAGTAGCACGCATTCTGTCTGCGAATTGAGAATTTTTTTTTAATGGGTTCAAAGATAACACACCAAATTCATGCGGGTATTCGCCTCTGAGGAAAGGGAACTGGACTGAAGTTGGTCACTGAGGGAGTCTTTAGATATCTATGTTTTACTCCCTAGACACAAAATTACTTCAAAGTGAGAGGAAGTTAATATAAAATTTCTTTTTTTTCTAACTGAAGTATAATCCGTTTACAATGTGTCAATTTCTGGTGTACAGTATAATGCTTCAGTCATACATGAATATATATATTGGTTTTCATATTCTTTTTTACCATAAGCTATTACAAGGTATCGAATATAGTTCCCTGGGCTCTACAGTATAAACCTGTTTATCTATTTTATATATACTAGCCAGGATCTGCAAATCTTGAACTCCTAATTTATTCCTTCCCATTCCCTTCCCCTCTGGTAACCATAAGTTTGTTTTCTATGTCTGTGAGTCTATTTCTGTTTTGCAAATAAGTTCATTTGTCTTTTTTTTTTTAGATTCCACAGTGAGTGATATCATATGGTATTTTTCTTTCTCTTTCTGGGTTACTTCACTTAGTATGATGATCTCCAGAGCCATCCATGTTCCTGCAAATGGCATTATTATTTTCTATGGCTGAATAGTATTCCACTGTGTAAACATGCCATAACTTCTTTATCCAGTCATCTGTCGATGGACATTTACATTGTTTCCATGTCTTGGCTGTTGTATATAGTGCTGCTATGAACACTGGGGTGCGTGTGTCTTTCTGAATTACAGTTTTCTGGGTATATGCTCAGGAGTGGGATTGCTGGATCATATGGCAATTCTATTTTTAGCTTTTTAAGGAATCTCCATACTGTCCTCCATGGTGGCTGCACCAATTTACTTTCCCACCAACAGTGTAGGAGGGTTCCTTTCTCTCCACACTCTCTCCAGCATTTAGCATTTGTGGACTTTTTAATGATGCCCATTCTGACAGGGGTGAAGTGATACCTCAGTCTAGTCTTGATTTGCATTTCTCTAATAATTAGCAACATTGAGCATCTTTCCATGTGCCTGCTGGCCATCTGAGTTATCTTTTTTGGAGAAATGTCTATTTAGGTCTTCTGCTCGGTTTTTGACTGGGTTGTTTGTTTGTTTTTGCTATTAAGCTGTATAAGCTGTTTGTATAGTTTGGAAATTAGCCCATTGTCAGTTGCATCATTTGCAAGTATCTTCTCCCATTCTGTAGGTTGTCTTCTCATTTTGTTTATGGTTTCCTTTGCTGTGCAAAAGCTTTTAAGATAGTTAATTTTTAAAAACTTTACTTTTTTAAAAAAAGTATTTTTATGTGTTTTATTTGTATGGTGATTGTGTAGTTATCACAGAATACATAACTGGAAAGTAAATAGGGCACATTCAAACCTATGCAGAATTTGAATTTTTGCACTTGAGCTAATATAGCTAAACTTTTCAAGAACTGTATTGAAAAATAAATAATGTGAAAATAGGATTTCACTTGAAAAGTGTTACAAACCAAACACTTGGTGTCTTAAAAAATGTGGGTTATTATAAACCTACATAATATTATTAAATCATAAGGACAAATAGAATTTTTCCATTAAAATGTGTTATAATTCTCTGATAATACTTAATATGAATTATACTTTATTTTGGCATTAGCTTGGTTATAGTTCATGACATCATTAATTATGAGCCTGTAGACTAGAACAATTTTAAATTAATAGCATATGTATTTAGCTAAAGGCTTTTAAAAGAAAAGGCTTGAGGTTTGGCATCAAACTGATTTTAAAGTAAAATGAATGTTTCTAGTAAAACAGTGTGCACTGGTTAATTGCCTATAGCAATGAAAAATTAAAGCTGAATTTTAGACAAACTCTAAATCATTTAGAGGACTATGAAGTGAAAAA